CTGACTATTTCCAAACCCTCCCATCTGTTCCTCCCATTTCAATCGATCACGTACGATGCCATCATCCCAATAAGCTAGGCTGTTTCTATCTCCAGTAGGATAGCATGGGTTCTTTACTTGACATCTCATCAAATAAAGCAGCTATTTTGTATGAAACAAAATGCACCAGATTAGACATGATACATATTATATACGAAACAATTTAAATTCATAACTTTCAATTTGCAAATGGAGTTAAATTAAAACTTGTATACCTGCAAGAAAAGCAAGTAACCAACATACTCTCTTTTCAGCTTTCCATCACCCAAACTACCAACCACATGGTCCAGCACATACATGCACCAGTTATAAGAACTTATTGTTTTGACATTGTCAATAGCCAAAATTCTTGTACATGCGCATGATAACGCTCGTTTGGGGTTAGTATAGTCGCACATGCGAATAATACAAAGGCCCTTTTGAAGTCATCTCTAGCTTCATATTCTACAACCCTTTTTATCAATTTGCCTACAGATAAGGAGTCCCGATATCCACCCTCGTCTATCCAGTCCACACAAAACTAACGGGATGTAGGTACTTGCACTATACCGACAGGTAACCCCAAAATGTTATGCACCTCAAAGGCATTTATAGGTAACAACTGATTGCCTTTCAGTTTTATGCCACATTTGTCAACCTCAAATTGTTCTATCAAGTAGTTGAAGAGTGGAGTCGACAAATGGGAACACTTGAGGTCCAACAGAAATCCAAAACCGATATCCTCCACATCCTTCATCTTCTTAGAGTTCAGTTTCGCAACTACTTCTATGAATTCGGAATGGAGCTTCTGTGGAAACCGACCTTAATCTTGTATTCTGCCTTCTTCTATACCATTAAAAAACTAATAACATTATCATTCAATTTTCGAGTGTATGTTATATGCAATAAATACAAACAATTCGATTTAGCACATTAACTTTTTCCTTCTTTTATTTGCAGCTTTATATCCGGACCTTCGGAGCTCCATTTCAAGTTTACTTTTTTCCTCATAATATGAGGCCTTCTCTTTAGTGCTCATTATTTTTCACGCATGCGTAACTTCAGTCTCTATTTGTCTTTTAGAGACATCTTAATTTTTTTCGTCAATCCATGCTCTTCTCGGTATTTCCTCATATATGCTGTTCTGATTAACCATGAATAAACCAAGCATAAGGATTTAAATACATATACATCACAAGTTACTTTTTATGTTCTCCACTCTCAAATTCATATATCTTCCATTTACGGAAAACCAAAAATTTCATATAACTTCCCAATTTGTTTCTACTTTTTCATGGCTTTGGAAGTCTAAATTGATCACCAATTGTAATGAGCAATTCATCTAATTATTTAAAGTTCATAATTATACATATACTAACTGTCTTGCTAAAATAACCCAACTCTGCTTCTTTATTTTTGGTTATGTTTTTTAAAAATTGGAAATTATCAATATACATCACATGTTTTCCTTTATGTTCTCGCGTGTGAAATCAATATAACTTCCCAATTTGTTCCTACATTTTAATGATTTTACAATTTCAAATTAATGACCAATGCATATAATTATTTGAAGTTGGGAATTATGAAAAACTAATTGTATAACATGATATATTGCATTCCAATGATAATAAAAATGGAACTAAACTTCAAACCAAATTTCAATTACAAAATTAACATTAATACATACATACTTGAACAAAAGGAACACTCCACCAGGGCGACGTGGCATACTTTATTTGCTTTTCGAGGATGTAGTAGTGTTTGCCTCGGCCTCAAATTCTTCATCATCTTCATCTACCTCCTCTTTAGGTGGCACATAATTAGAATCACTGCCAGAGACCATTCTAAAACTTTCACCAACCTTACGACTAAATTTTAGAATAAGAGAAGGATTAGGGATACTTTTTTTCTTTGCAACAGGTATAATTTTCCTTTTTCCTTTGTTATGAGCTAGAGTCTTCAACCTACCCATTCCAAAACCTAAATTCGATTCAAGCCACCAACAAATTTAATGAACCTAATAAAGCTATAGCAATTGAACTCAGACAACCTTAATTTCAGACCAACCACAAAAACCCTCGCACCCAACCCTCAGACGAAGCAGCATAGACCTTCCCTTCTTCTTCTTCTTCATCTTCCCTAGTTCCCTTCTTCTTCATCTTCCTTAGTTCCCTTGTTCTTCGTTTCAGACCTCCCTTGTTCTTCGTTTCAAACTAACCTCCAAAACCTTAAAGCCTCACACCTTCGTCTTCCCTTGTTTCTTTCTTTTTTGTTTTCATTTGTTCTTCATTTCAGACAAACCTCCAAAACCCTAAAGCCTTAGACCTTCCCTTCTTCCCTTCTTCTTTCGTTAAAAGCTTCTTCTTCCCTTCTTCTTTCGTTAAAACCTTCTTCTTCCTTCTTTTGTTAAAAATGATGTAAGGGGTAAATAGACAATTGTAAACAATATTTAAGGGCTAAATGGACAATTCCAACCAATATACAGTATTATTATAATATATACCGTATTTATTATATAATACTTTAATATTTTATATCCATTTAATACAACACAAACAGTGACCAGTAAAAATTTGTTCACCCAATTTTTTAACTCACGTGACCAACTCTTGTCCACTCATTCCCAAATGGAGAAAATGGGGCACTATATACCGTATTTATTATATAATACTTTAATATTTTATACCCATTTAATACAACACAAACAGTGACCAGTAAAAATTTGTTCGCCCAATTTTTTAACTCACGTAGCCAACTCTTGTCCACTCATTCCCAAATGGAGAAAATGGGGCACTGTGGGACTGGAGGTGATTTTCGCCCGTAAGGCAATGATATGTAAATGAATGGATTTGAGTCTTGAGAAAGAGAATTCATTTGGCTGATCCATTCATATGGAATTAAAACAATAATGATAATAACAACGATGATAAATGGAGAAGTAAGGGAAAAAAAAATTCAAATTAATTTGAAGTAATTTCTTAATAGTGGTTTTGCGTGACCAAATTACTGTGGAGTGATAAAGAATTTCCTATATTACTGTTCAAATATGTTCTCCTTCTAAAATATTCATGATGAATTTATGATTTTTCTAGAAATTGATATGTGAAAAATATATGTACAAAAAGATTTGAGATTCAGAAGATTTAAAAACAATAACCGTAGATTTTTGTAACTCATGAAAATCCTTGAAAAGGTAATGGGTGCGGAGGTGGTCTATAAATATCCAAAGGGGTGGCCATGCAAGCCAAGTTAAGAAGTTAGTATTTCTCATCAAGACAGCAACTGTGACCAATAATAAAAATCGTTTTTCCATTTTTTTCAAAAGAGAAAGTACTGAGATGAAATTAGATATATTTTAGTAGAAATATATTATTAAATTTCATATATTTGGATGATTATGTCACCCATTATCGGAAAATGGTTTCCATCAGTTTGGTTTGGAAAAATAGACTTGTGAAACGATTAAGCGAATGGTTCATATATTTGCGCGATGTACTTCAGCTGGTTAGATCTATTTAGTCATTTCTTTCTCTCCATCAAGTTGGAAGCTGTTTAAGTTGATATTTAAGTTTTTTGTTTTCTGAATAAATTATTGCACGATACATAGAATCCTCTCTAATTAACTTATTCAGCCAAATAGTAAACTAAGTTTTACATCGATTTTCAAATAATTAAATTGTTCTTTTGTGAGAACACAACCAAGTGAACTCGTATAACCTGATTTGGCGAAATATTTTGACTATAGGTTCCGGTGAAAAAACCTGGACCAGAAAAATGGCTGTGGTTTTTTGACTGGATATTGAAACCACCTCTGCTAAGTTTATTTATACAAAACATCAAATTTTTTTACTTTCTTTTCTTGTATGCAAATAAATACTAGACTTAGAATTTTCTTTGGCCAAATGAAAACCAATTGAAACAATGAAAGATGACATATATGCCTTGAGAGATTCATAGTGGTGGTAGTCAAACTTGCTGCTAACATAAAAACAATGGATATCACTGTTCTTTAGCTGAAGAATAGGTATAGCTGTTAAATTTTTGGCAAATAGCACAAACTTCAGGCATTTACAAACAATTTTTTTTTTTAAAAAAAAAAAAAAAAAAAATTATTGTATCAACTCTAATCTGTGTGAAAAATGATGGTGTGAAGCCCTTTGCTTGTCAGACTAGCTTAAGGTTGGACAAGGTATTGTCTGATAGAAGAATATGTATTATTTGAAGTGCTATAACCAAACAAGAGTCACAACAGAAGTCTTGAAAAGTATGAAATGCTATGCATTTGCACATGTCTTCTTTACTATGACCACCTATTTTTTGTTGACTTAGCAAAAGAATAATACAATTGCTCAAGCTATGCTCAAATACAACACAAAACAAAACCCACTATAAGTCCAGTGTGTATGCTACCAAACCAGAGAGGACAAAAAAAAAAAAAAAAAAGTGAGAGAAGATAAGACGACAATTACAAATGGATGACAGCCAAATACATGACAAGGCACACTGGTCTGTCTAGAAATGAACCAAAGACAGTCAAGATTCAATCCAAAATTCAGCAGCAAACTGGGATATGATTATTACAAATGGATATGACATACTGTATGGCAAACACATTGTTGAAACAAGGAGCAGAACAATTAGAAAGCTCTCCAAGATAGGAATTAAACCCTATAGCCCCACCCACCCCCATCAAGTGATGCCTCAAAATGCAAAATGTGCTAATTGACATCTCAGAACCACTGCAGTCCAATGCAACGGAGCTAAGATTGATGGGCTTATTGGCAGAGGAGAAATTTATAGGAAGGAACAATTATTACTGTGACGAAACAGATTTTACTTTGATTTGGCTTCTTTTTTGTGTCTTAATTTTATTATAAGGAGTGGGGAACAAAATATACAGATGAGGGTAGACACCAGGAATGCCAATAGTGATCCTATCTATCTTTCTAGGGCTAAAGTCAAAAACTTAATTACCATTCCACTTCTGTAGTCTGAACTCCCTGTGAGCATGGAGTAAAGAATTTACTGAAAAAATATAGTGTCACGGCAATAAGCATGACAGCATGATGTATTACACTCATAAATTCAAATCTTGGACTATAAATGACAATTGCTGGTAAAGTAAAAGGCTACATAAACAAATTTTACCTGCCCTCTTGAGCAGAGATGATGGCTAAATTGATGTAAAACCTGCTGCAGTCCAGAACAACTCCAATGCGGGGGGATTGGTTGATGTGTATGAACTTATATTACAATCTTCAGCAAGATACTTCACAGCCTATAGCCATGCAAATGCTTGGCCCATCTTCTAGCCATGTAAGGATCATGGTAATCCCAGCTTTCAACACTGCTAGTCCTCCCACCTGTGTTCATAACAGCTTCTGTACAGTCAGTACTTCCACTTTTATCCTCCGCGCCCACCAGAATTTCCCCCGTCCTAATGCATTCATCAACCCCACCCTCGACATAGCTATATTCCACACGAACATGTCCAGAGTCGCCCAGATTTAATGGAATTCTTCTCTCCTCACCACTTCTTAGTTCTCCTAGCCTCACAATCCTAGAATCCTCCCTAATCTTCAATTGGATCCCTTTAACCACACCTCCTAATACTCTGGCAAGGAACTCTTCGAATTCATGCATCACAAACCCATTAGAAGTGCCAAAGCCATATCCTACATGGAAGCGATGGACTGGTATGGGCACTTCCATGTTGATGCATTGGTAAGATCTTGTTGGACTGTCAGACAAATGCAGAATACAGGACTGTGGATTTTTGTGGGCACGATCTCCAAGTACTTTTATTCCTTTCTTGAGTCCTTCATTTGGATCTGCTTGTCCCATATAAAAAAGGCGATCAATGACTTGCAGTGCTGTCCGCTTCCCATAGGATGTCATGCGTCTAAGGGGGAAGACCCGTGCTGCAGTAGATGAGTAGGTGACAATAGACAACCGATCAATGGGTCGAAGGGAGAAAACAACTAATGCCATGGATTGCTTTATAAGTCTCAGGTGAGGTCCATTGGGGCTTGCAACTAAGACCAAGTCAGTTGCTAGCTGATCTGCTAATGTTACAGAGAGATAAGCTCTATTACTGGAGGTGCATGATGGGTAAGGCATTTGCCCAGTGGATTCAATATGCTGTGTTGCTGCTGCTAATAAAGATGAGGAGCTGCTCAAGTGATGTAGTGATTCAAATCCATGGGGATGACATGAATTGGTTCCAGTCACTCGTAAAGGTTGATGTGAGCATGGATGAAAGGTGGGATGAGTCAGTGAGACAGGTATGAGAGAAAGATGGAGACGAGGATGATTTGTTATGTGGTCAGGCTCAATGGGGTCATCATCATCATAGCGGGCAGAGCGTAGAAAGGAGCGCCTGTGGACACGGAAAGTGGCAATTGAGTCGTCGAGAATTTGGAGAATGGGGTCAGTTCTGTTGAAAGAGAGAGAACAAGGTGGGTTTAGGTTACGAGGCAGCTGGGTCCAATGCGCACGGCAAATGGGGCAGGTGACACTGCCATGGCGGACATTGGAGGATATGCAAGCAAAATGGAATGCATGAGAGCACTGCGCTGTGAATATGGCCTGGCCCGGGCTAGAGCCTGTGCCATAACTTAGAGGATCAAGACATATTGTGCACAAATTCTGCCACAGGATGGAAAAAGAACACCGTAAGGTCTCTGTTAAGAAAAATAAAATTGAAAAGAGAAATTAAGCATAAACAACACAAGACTATAACGTGGTTCGGCCACTACAACCTACATCTACCACAAAGCCCAGAGGACTACATCACTTTCATTATATTCTCTCTTAGTTTTGTTTACAATGATCACCTCTATTTATAGGTTAAAGTATACAAAAATGTGATAAATATGAAAAATACATCGATAGAGGATTCCAAAAATCAATCCCGTGAATTACTCGCAATATTCTATCAAGGGCTTAAATAAATCCTACAATAATATTCTCTAACACTCCCTCTCATGTTGGTACACAGAGATTTTAATTCAAGTGTCCAACTTGAAACTAAATACGAAGTTGTTGTGACAAATTGTTGTTGAATGAACTATGAGCGGGGTCTGCAAGAGTGAAGAACATGACCCCAGATACTTGATCAGAAAATGTGGCATATTACCAACAATATGTGTTTAAGCATAAACCAAAAATAACTGTGCAGCAATAATGAGATGACAACAGATGATGAGATATGGTGTAGAGGCTCCCTCTGAATGATATTGTCACAAAGACATTCCTTTGATGATTCCATGATTGATGCGACAAAAAATTTCTGCCATAAGTGAGGTTTACGAGGAAAAAATGCACGGAATGATGTCAATGTTGTAAAATGATGGGAAAAAAACTGTGATTCTTTCCCTAAAAGTTTGAGAGAAGGGGAAAGCAATTGATATTGTATGGTAACCAATCATATAACAACTTGAGAGAAGGGGAAACCAATCAGGACACTTTCTACATTACTTAGAAACACGACTCCCAGATGTTTTAAAGTAACACGTGGGGAAGGCTGGCACATGGTGCACTTATGCTGCATTGCTTAGTTTAGTGCTGTAGAAAGTGTCCTTGATTGGTTTTATTCCTTTTCCTTGTAAAGTACCAAAAGAAAATCAACTGAAAAAACAAGTTTCTTTCAGTAAATAGGCAAGTATAGTATTTTACATTGATAAGTGTCTAATAGTCCTGTTAATTAGAAGGAGAACTAGTCTTGCACAAAGTGTCAATAATGATAAATTTATCCAATTCGTTCACAGGCAAGAGAAATTGGTGATTCAAGTAAGAATGCCAAGCCCTTCAAGCAGGTGCAGTGACTAATTCAGTAGGGTTAAGTGGGTTGTTGAGCAGTGAACAACATGTTTAAATGTCATACTTTATATGGAATGATTCCACTGCACCAAATTCACATATTTATTATGTTCCTGAATATTTAGTAACATACTCAGGGAAACACACACATACAAAAAGCACATGGCTAATGACTATGAATGGTATGATCCATATATAATATCTTGATCAGATAACAGAATATTTGAATTCACGAATAAATACAAATTTATATATTATATTTGAGACTACAATCAGTGCTATGTAATCAAAGGCTAAGTCTAGTGGTACTTCTTCACCTAAAGTAGAATGTAGTTAAGTTCCCATAAGAGCAAATTGGTCGTGTGGGTTTCAAATGGAGACCCAAAAAAAAAAAGGAAAAAAAAAAAAAAATGAAAGCCATGTAGGAGATGTACATGATAAAATCTAGGAAGGAAAAAAAAGTAGCAAGTTATTAAATAAGGATGGGAAATTTCTGAAAAACTTAGCTAAAGTTTTTGAAATAGAGTGACAATGAATATCAAAGCTGAAATCTTTAGTGGATTCTTATCTAATGCGCATGTTTGTTGTTTCATAGGACAAAGGTGCAACACAAGTATTAAAAAATAATAATAATAAATAAATAAAAAGGGTAGTGATAAGGAGTCCGACAACTCCGACTAATTTTATGTGAGTAGGGGCTGATGTCATCACGACATCAGCAATATTAATGACATCGTGATGACATCAGCTCACTCCCACTGGTATAAATCAATTTGTCCGACTTTCCGACTCCAAATCGTTATCAAAAAAAAAAAAAAAATTGAATTGGTGTGGATTGGCGCTAATTAATAGCCTTATTGGGTGGCAATCCTGTTTTAGTCCATTTTATAAAAACTGCATAGGTAGGAACAAAATGAAGAGCTCCTAAATTGCTGTTAAATAGTCAGTGTCAATCAACAATGGAGTATTCCCAAATTGAAATTCAAAAAATTTCAAGTGGGAGAGACAAAAAAATGGGGCTCATTTCTGGCATTTCCAACCAGAAATATAATGTTGAGGTTTCCAAGTCCTCGGAGGGGCAAATCGGGTTCAGAGCAATTTCCGAGGTAAAAATAAAAAATAAAATTGTAGAGAGAGAGAGAGTTGGTCCTTAAATCTACCTTAGTAGAAGTAGCAGTGTCGGTGGTGGTGCCGAGAGCAGCTTTCAGAGCAATTTCCGAGATTTTATCAGCACTGTACCTCGGCTTTGAAGGAGGATTATTGGGTGAACCCAAGAATACCTGCAAATAACACAACATCAATGCGGAGTCAAAAAAAAAAAAAAAATCTTTCTTCCTTTTGTTTTGGCGGTTTGAATTGTGAATCAGGGTAGAGAAAATTAGAAAATTTTCTAAGAAATATAATGAAAAGAAAAGGAAAAAAAGAAGCAGATTGGGGGTGTGAGATTGAGAGCTCCAACATTTGGCTTTCCAAAAGAAAACCCAAATGAAAGCAAACACAAAAAAAAAGAAAGTGAAATGACAGATTTTGGAGAGAGAAACCCAAATTTTGTTGAACAAATTGCAGAAAGTGAAAATTCATTAATGAACCCTAATATCATTTACAGAACTCCCCCACATTGCACAATTTTCAGTTTCAATCTTACAAGAAAATGTAGTATAGAATATATACATGAATATATATAGAGAGAGCGAGCGAGCGAGAGAGAGAGAGAGAGAGAGAGAGAGATTACAGTAGGATTAGGATCGACAAGGAGTTGTCTGCGAGAGAAGGAACCACAAGCTGTTTGTAGAATCTTCCTTGCGGCTCGTTTCAGTTTCGATGAAGCTCCTCCTCCTCCTCCTTCACCCCCCAACATTCTCACCTATATTATTACTCGCTCTCTCTCTCTCCTCTCTCTCTCTCTCTCTCTCTCTCTCTCTCTCTCTCTCTAGAGTTTAATGTATATCACTCTTATCACATTCTTCTTCTTCTTCAGGTTCCAATCATTTTATGAACAGCTTGAATTTTGTAAAGAAAACCCACCAAGGTTGGGAGACAAATGCTTCAGAGTTTCAGCAATTTGTGCTCTCTCCTGTTGGAAATGGAATTGCTTTTGTCAGGAACCTTATGCGTATGTATGTACACACACACACACAAATGAGCAGACGAAAACAAGGCATCAGAAACCAACAAAATTACATTTTAATGGCATAATATAGAAAGTAATGGTTGCCACAAATACCTTTCGCTTTTTTTACTTTAGCTCAGTGCTCTGTTATATTTAAAGTTCAAAGCACCACCACTCTCTCTTTTTTTCTCTCTCTCAAATCAAATAGACAGACAGGGCTGGCCTAGTATAATATTGACCTTATGTTTTAATGTTGCCAGATATACTCCACGTAGGTGTCCAAGAATCATAAATTATTGACCATCTAATCCTCTGGATTACTATATTAGACGCAATTGGTTACGTTGACATACTCTCTTGTTTCATTTTTAAATGTTCGAAATTAATTATTTTATTTAAAAAGTTAAAGTAAAATAATTTTATCTTTCTATTATTATTCTTTTTAATTTCAAAATATATTTAACTTGTAACATACATATTTAAACTTTAAAGGACAAATTAATCATTTTAAAAGGGACAAATACATTAATTATATGTCTCCTTACGAGCTTTTTAATATTAAAGATAGACAACTAATATGTGATTGAAGGGTAATTTAATTGTACGTCATCTCTTGATTAAATGGGATCTTATGGTTTGATTAATTGCTTATTTTTGTTGACATTGTGATTTTCTTTGTCTTTTTTTATATATTTGTTCTTTGTTTTCTCTCCTTTTTTTTAATTATTTTTTTTTTTTTATAAATAATTAACACCGTTACTATCCTCGGATTAACAAATAAATCACACACTATGCCTTACTCTTACTCCTTTCGAAATTTGAAATACAGTATTTATTTTTCATTTTGGTAATAAAAGTTTGATCCCAAAATTCCATTTCTATTTATAAATCATAAAAGAGATGCAAACTCATAATTTATAAGAGAGAGAAGGGGGAGAAACCGTTAAATTTGAATTTTAAAGTTTTAATTTAGGGTATCATCAATGATTCAATGCTGGTGACGTGGACGTCTGGTCCTCTAAGCTTCTTTTACGCTATCAAAAAAAAAAGCCCATACTTTCAAGTTTCAATACTCTAGTTCAAAATTCAACAAAAGCTTTTGATTCTTTTTCAACCTATTCAAATCTCATCATTTTAACCATGAAAAGAATAAAAATAATCCTTAATTAATTGTTACTGGGATGCCTAAATCCTTACCTATTAGGAAAATGGTAGTTACACACCTACACGGTTACACCTAAGAATTAACCGATTCCTCTAGGCTAATTCTTGTCTCACCCACTTTATAAGAGTGAATATGCATAGTTATGCAATAATTTAAATTTCTGAATCACAGGATAAGTGTTCAGTTCGTTTATTAGTACTAGAGTTAAATTTTGTCAGTGTTCGTTCCAAAGGTGTCCAGGTCAGTAATCAACTAGGCAAGATCATCTGGTCACAATGAGAGCATTGCGAGAGGAATAAGTGTCGAACCTGTTACAATGATATAGAGTCAGATTCAATATTTGTACAGTGGTATTAGAGTCAGATCAAATCCTTGTATAGTAGTACCAGAGTCAAATCCAATCCTTGTATAGTAGTACCAGAGTCAAATCATATATTTGATTCAATATCACGCCAAGTACCTAAACATCCACCTCAAAAAGGTGTTCGGGAAACATCATAAGATTATATAAGTGGGTATATGACATTAAACCTATTCAATTAAGTGACAAAAGAAAAACATACATTTGATTCATCTCACAGACAAGAAAAACTAAACATACACTCAATTCAAAAAACAAGTCCATATAAATATGCATACACAAAGAAATATACGGAGAACTAAATTTTGAGATGTGTGAAAATTCAACAGAGCTCTTTCATAGCCAGAGTTACGAGCTCCTATTTATTATCTTACGAGCTCTCTAATTATTAACTATTCAATTAAGATAGTTTTAAATGTATAAAAATTTAAATCAAATCTCTCAATCAAACAATCAATAAAAAGAGGTTGTTGTCTCTTGTGATGGAAAAAGCCCATATATATATATATATATATATATATATATATATATATATAATTCAAAGATAAACTTAGAGTGATTAATTTTGGATATGTGATTTATACATAGGAGAATTTAACTAAAAGCTATCTTATGAAAATCTATGGACAGAGAAGTCCTAAGTTTATATAACATTTTATTTTTATTTTTTGGATACAAGTCAATGAGCTACTCTCTATTTCTGTCCCCATCACATATTCAATGCAGTAATTTAATCAAAACAGGCTAATTGAAGATTAAGTAAACAATTCTTCAATGATCACACGAATTGATGGTTTAATATCAAATACAATATATATATATATATATATATATATATAAATACATATATATATAAGAGAGTTGTTTTGGCAGTTTCTCGTGGTAGGTAGTGGGTTGATTATAAATGGAGCTAATCACGGGTTGAACTTGCTTGTCAAGCTTTGCTGTTAAAACGGTTTAATATAACTTAATTAAATCAAATCATAGGCCCATTAGTTGCACTGGCATGACTAAGCTGACCTAAGGATTTAAAAACTAACATTTTCTGAGAAGATAACGTCGTTTGCTCAGGACAAAAAATATGATGTTTATGAATCATTGGATTTATTATTTTATCAACTACTAAACTAATATTCATTATTTTATTTCTTAGTTTTATTTAATTGGAGCTACCTCATTTTTGCAGATTAAAACTCAAAGATGATAATGTCATCATCCGGGTCAAGCCAATAATCTATCTTCGAAAAGATATAGATGAATTTGACTCACAGCTTCAAGCCTATAAGACTAGCACGAATGATGATATTATTTAATGAAATTATAAATAATTGTTCATTAAATAATTGAACAAACTGCTAAGCATGACAATGGTTATAAAAGCATACGAACACAATTATTCAATTATTCTAGGAAGTCCGAATACTTCTCCTAAGAAAGTCTTGGTAGTATCTGATTGGACATAAAGATACGCAACGTGTCGATTATATTAAAATTTGAATATTTTATTAAACTAATTCAACGTAATATTATGTTAAAATTTAAATATTTTATTTAGTAATTGAACACGACTAAGATACGATCAGAAAATGGCAAGAGAAATTTGGAATACTTTCATAACCGGATAATTTTGTAATTATTTTTCTTAAAAGAGGGGTTTGATGCAATTTAAAATATATTATGAATTCATTTTAAAAATAATATAAAAAATTTAAAAACAACATTTAACTCTAAGTTTCAAATTAGCAATCTCATTCATGATTATAAGAAGTAAATGGACAAAAATTATTATTTTTATATACGTAATAATATATTATATTATTAATTCTTGACCTCTTCCTACCATATTCATGTTGTCTGTTTTGAAATTTGTCGTATAGTCGTGTCCGTATCGTGTCTCTGTATTCGTAATTTCTAAATTGGATTGCGAGTGCTGACATACATAATAATAAACAAATTGCAAAAATATTGTGGAAATAGAAGTTTTGCATACTACAAGGAAGTAGTTCAAAGTTCAAACAAAGAATCCAAAAGCAAGAAAAGGGCCAGTACGTTTAAAGCATACTATTGACAGTAGTAAGACTTGGGGAATCTGTCTTTTTGTTACTGACAAATGGGGAAGGTTGTTTTTTTTTTTTTTTCTTAATCGATCCTGCAATTGAATTCTCTTCCCTCAAAAGAAGGGAAAGAGGAAAGGAAAGGGCTCTGGTGTCCACCAAACAACAACAACTTGCTTGTACACACAAAAAAGCGTACACAGTATGTTATGTGTTCAGTTGTGCACAAAAGGTGGTGCATTTGACCAAGTCAAATTAGGCAGAAGGGCTCTGTTTTAAGACAGTTAAATTCAAAGAATCTGTGCTGATTTGCAGCTGGATTCTATATTCAGTGTTTCTTCTTCTAAGTTTTGTTTCTTTCTCATCACTTTTGATCAAAGATTTTGTGTTGATTGCTGGTTAATCTTTCCCATCTTCTCTAATCATGTCACCTTTTAGACTAGTCAAGTCCTTGATTCATATAATTGAATCCAAATCTTCTACATACTCAATTTAACTAGAATCACAATGGACTCAATAGATGGTGGGTCTGATACATACAACATCAAACATCAGTTCACTGGGGTGATTCCGAGCTTCTAATTAGCTTTCTTTGAAGGAGGGATGGACATGACTAAATACTCTGAATGACATTTTGTCACAAATCTTTGAAAAAAGCTTGACCAAGTATTTGGTTTTTTTTGTTTGGACTCTTTGGCCCGACTATCTTAACATTTTCTGATTGGAAAAGTGAAGAAAGAAGTGGCTTAGAGGGTGGGTGGGCAATCAGAAAAGTGAAGAAAGAAGTGGCTTAGAGGGTGGGTGGGCTTTGGCGCAATGTTAATGTTGCTCCGTGTGACCTAAAAGTCACGGGTTTGAAATCGGAAACAACCTCTCCACGTGGAGGTAAGGAAGTGTATATCTAACCCTTTTCAGAACTCGCAATGGCGGAAGTCTTGTACATTATGATAGCCCTTAAAAATGAAGAAAGAAGTGACAATAAGAGGTTAAGTTGGTTACCTTTACCTTTATTAGAGAGGGAAGGTTTTTTGATGTGATTCATGCCTGCCTGCAATTCCGACCCCACCAAATACACATCAAAGCAATGAATCCTTTGGCAAAATTTACTTTAGATTTTCTGCTAATAGGCTGCATGAAAGTATTGTTCTGGTAACTGTTCAGTCATCTTGTAATCAATTCATTGTCTCTTTATAGTCAGCTGCCAAGAATTTAATAGCCGTGGATCTTTTTTTATCGTTCCAGAGGATGCCATGATCATCTTCTACTCGTCGCAGCATATCTAATCTTCCAAAACTTCATATAGAATTATGTACAGGCACAGCCTAGTTGGCTGTTATCTTTGGTTACTTCCATCTTTGTGTAGTACTCCTGTTCACTTCCACCACATACCAAGATCCTCACCAATCTGCAAATTCAAAATGCCAAAACTCCCATGTATAATCACAATGGGAAAAAAAAAATATGCTGCCTACTTTCAGCTTCTCATCCAAATAAATTGTATGCAACATCAACCTTTTAGTTTTTCCTTGACTATGGTAAAACTCTCAAGAATTAGATATGTCTCTAATCTTCTCGTCCCAACAACCTGTGTAGACAGGACCAACACCAGGCAACGGCCCTTTTTTTTTTTTTTACAAAACCATCAATATTTCTTTCATGGTTAGCCAAAGGAAACACTCTTATTTTTTTGCCTGATAACAGCCAGTGTTCTTCTCTTTCACTGGCTAATATCCTTAAAGGCTGTACTCAGCTCCTCATTGCACATTTGAGCTTCACATCATTCTCTGGCTTGGTCTTAATTATTTATACAAGAATCTTACAGTGAAGCTTTGTCTTTGGCTTTCATCGATAATCAAATTACCATTCATTGATCTAAAGCAAGAGTAAACCTGCAAAGTTTCAGATTAACATATGAAATGGACACCATGTAACGGAACAAGAATTGTCACTTTGCACAGGCCTCTTCAAAGAACTTCCCCATATATGAACTTTAGTCTCTTTCAGGTTACAAAATGCTTACCCAACATTTTCTTACCTACTTAAACTATAACAAAACAGATTGGTTTCCTTTCTAGTATCCCATCTCTTGCATTAATGGTAGAAGCTTCTCTTGTAGCAATATGTAGATCTCCTCGCTTTCAGGATGAGATCTGTCCCCCACAAAAAATGTATGAGTCTTGCCCTTTACTTCTATTTGGCTAATTCCGGGTACTTTCTTCACTTTTCTCTCCTTCATCTTTTTCTTTACTTGAGCATACTCATCCCATTTCCTAGATCTCGCAAAGACATTCGCCAAGAGTATGTATCCTCCTGAATGAGTTGGTTCAAGCTCTATCAATTCCCTTCCAATGTGATTCGCCAGTCCAATGTTCCCATGCAATAAGCAAGAACTAAGCAATGCTCCCAGAACAACACCATCCCTTTCATCTGGAGGCATTTCCCGAACCACCCCCATAGCCTTGTCAATCTGTCCAGCTCGACCTAGGATATCAACGAGGCAGGAATAGTGCTCAGCCCTTGGTGTCAAACCATAAGTACGCACCATTGAGTCGAAAAGCCTTTGACCCTTGTTTACAAGACCTGCATGACTACAGGCTGACAAGACACCAACAAAAGTAATCTCGTCTGGCTCGGCTCCTGATCGTAGAATCTGTGCAAAAGCTTGCAATGCATGGTAACCATAACCGTGATTTGAATATGCTAGTATCATTGCAGTCCATGACACAATATCCTTTACCCTAAGATTATCAAAAGCAAGCCGGGCAGAACTAACATCTCCACTCCTAGAATACATTGTAACAAGGGCATTGGTAAGCGATGTATCACAGTCAAAACCAAGACGTAACAGAAGCCCATGAGCTTGCAACAACTCTAGAATGCCTTCACATGAGGTCAGTACGCTAGCGAGAGTAGTCCCATTTGGCCTAATGCAGCAGCGAAGCATGAGAGTTAGGTGCTTGAGGGCTTCACTTTTAAGCCCATTTCTAGTGTACCCGTCAATCATTGCATTCCAAGTCACCGTGTTCTTTTCCTGCATCAGGTTGAAAAGCTTACTGGCTTCCGCAATGAGGCCTATATCAGCATATGTTGTGATCATAGCATTCCATGCAGTTATGTCTTTCTTTGGCATCTGATTGAAGTACTCCCTGGCATGTTCGGTTGACCCATTCTTTGCCAGACCTGTAACCATAGTGGTCCAAGAAACTTCATTCTGATGAGGCATTGAATTGAATAGTCTAACAGCTTCATCTACTCTATTATCATCTAAACAACCTTGAATCAAAATGTTCCAAGTATATATATTAGGCTGGGGCATTTCTCGAAACAGCTTTCTTGCCTCGTCAATTTGGCAATTCTCAATATAAGACTTGATCATAGCTGTCCAAGAAACCACATTTTTTTCTGGCATTTGATCAAAAGTAGCCCGAGCTTGATCAATTAAACCATTTCGGGCATAACCCACAACCACATTAGTCCACGACACCACATTTTTCTCTGGCATTCGCTCAAAAAGCAGGCGAGCCTCCTCAACATGTCCACTTCTGAAATAACCAGAAATCAAACTAGTCCAGGAGAACACGTTCCTCTCAGGCATATGGTCAAACACTTTCCGAGCATCCTCTATGCGACCGGCCTTCGCGTAACCATCAATCATGGCAGAATCGGCCACAATGCTTCTTTCGGGCATTGCGTAGAAGAGATTTTCGGCTCTAGGGAAATCATTATTTTTGAGATAGGTAGTGATCATTGAAGCATATGAAACAATGTCTCTGTGAGGCATTTCATCGAACATCTTCCTCGCTTCCTCTACCTTCCCACGACGACCCAGGTTACTTATCTTTTTATTACAGTTATATGTAACATCTGCCGAGACAGTTGAGCTTCCATAGTTGAGAATGAAAATAGAGCTTGTTTTTGATTGAAGTAGATTCGGTTTTGGGTGGTGTATGTGAAATGAATGTCCGAAACAGGGGAATAAAGAGTGAAGTTTCAAAAGATAGCGGCGATTCATTGCAGTGTCCCATAACTTTCGGTCATGGTTTTGCGCTTCAGTTAGCGATGATGATAATAGTTATTTACTTATTTTTAACAAGATGATGATGATAGTTAGGTCAGGAAGAAAACTACACAAATAAACCTAAAATAGTCATATACTGGGAATGTCAATTTAACGCGGGTTTGGAATCATACTAATAAGATACGGATTTAGATGGAGAGTTTAAAATTAGTCAAATTGGATTAATAATAAATATAAACTTTTATTATTATTATTTTTTTTATATAGGTAAATTTTACTCACACTTTCAGTTGGTTAAACACACTTATGTGCTAGCTATTTTTCGGACCGTGGCACCTCCAATTGGATCCAAAATGTCTAATTTGCCATAACTAAAATATTATATGTTAACTCAAAATATCAACTCACCTAAAATGACCTAAATTCGCTAAATACACCACACAATTAGTAGACAGCTGTGCCACCCACCTACCCGTTTGTCACTCTTTATACTCTTAACTCGTTGGTCTCTCGCTCTAACCATTTCTTCCGCAGATCAACAACCAATCCCCATTGCCGCCATCATCACCATCAGGGACGGATCCAAGGGATGAATTGCCCCTACTGAATTATTATTTTTATTTTATTTTTTTATGTATTTTTTTTTTAAAAGTATTATACCCATATAATTTATTTATTTTCATTAATATACTCATAAAATATTACATTTATCCCTTTAAAATTACTAAAAAATGGACTATTGCCCCCCACCAAAATTCATTTTTGTCCCCCTTACCTTACATCCTGACTCCGTCCTTGATCACCATCACCACCAAGCTTGTCGCCGTCCTCACCAAGCTTGCTGTTGTCCTCATCATAAGCTCGTCGGACAATCACAAAGCTATGTCAGTTCGTCTCTCGCCGGTACGTTTTGTCCTCGTTCGTTGACGTCAATTATCGCCGGCGTCGGAATCAATCTTGGCAACCATCCTTTATCACGACGGCAACGAGAGCGGACGGAGCACTGATTTTTCCAGTGGTGATAGGAACAGATTCGAGTGGGGGCTTGATCGAACTGAGGATTGACCCAAAGCCGATCGAATTGAGTGAAGAGGGAGTGGTGGTGAGTGAAGAGAGAAAAAGAAAGATGGGGTGAACGGTGGTAAGTGGTGGAGTCAGCAATCGGTTGTCTTGCCCCAAAATTCTAACACAAGAACCCTTGTTTGATACTAAAATCTGGTGAGTGGCTCACATAATTCATCCATAATAATTCATGATTAAATCAGTAAGAATAAATTTTATTTAAAAAAATTTCATCAATCCAACAAAAATGTTTAGCTAAGAAACAAATAATAGCATAAATAAAATTCCAACTAAATAAAATTCCACAAACTAAGTGAACCTTATTACAAAATGTTTAGCTAAGAAACAATAATAGCATAAATATGTGAAAAATCTGGAAAATCTCTATTTCCCCTTGAGCCTCCTTTGCAAGCTAAGTCCATGTGCACTTGAAAGTGATAAAGGGGTGAGCTAACAAGTTCAACAAGAAACTGCTAAACATTATCATCGTTTAGCAAGAAAATCATTACTTAAATCCGTATATATATATATACACATATATAAGTGACCACGGAATATCTAAAAATCATCAAACTAACTAATAATTTGGTGGTGTGAAATTTGGAGAAGAAGCACGCATTACTTATAAATGAGAATCAATGAAAAAATCAAAATCAAAGTACACCAACTTACTTGTGCGTCGGACAAACCATTGTGAAGAGAAGAAGAACGACAATTTCTACTCAATTTGGGGATGATGTGGCTATGGTGGTGTGCAAGCACCTATGTATACGTGTATATATATATATGTGTGTGTGTGTGTGTAAGAGAGGGAAGAGGCATAATTTGGGGTGGTTGTGGCCGGTGGTGGTGGTGGTGATGAGTAGTGGTGGTAAGCGGTGGTGTAATCCAATGGCATAATTTGGGTTTGCTCCTCTTCGGCTTCAAGGTGAAGTCGGTGAAGAGGGTGGTGGAGATGGTGGCGATTGTAGGGGTGACGGTTGTGGTGGTGACCGAAGAGAGAGAAATATGGGGTGAGCGGCGGTAGGTGGTGGTGGCGGCGATCAATGGTAATTGTATATCTATATGTAGATGTGAATGTGTGGGTAAGTTGTTGGGATTTTATTTTTATTTTCTTAAAATAGTTTATAAAGGTTAAAATGGTCATTTTAAGGGTCAAATAGGTGAATTTAAAAGTCAAAGTATAATAATGAACCTTTAGAGGTGCTGGGGTGTGATAGTTCAGTTTTGCAATCGCAGGGGACAATTGGATTACACTAGAAGTTGTAAATGAGTGTCTTTAACAAAAATCAATAGAAGTGTGAGTGTAATTTATCCTTATTTTTAATTATAATTTAAAATTTTAACAATATTTTTCCTTTTCTTTTTTACTTTTTTTTAAATCGTGGTTCGAAATTGAACTGAACCGATCTTGTAAGATTAGGTTTCAAGTTTCAGTTTTGGTTTTAATTTTTTGAAAACCGTTTGAATTGATTCGATTCCAATTTAAGCATGGAACCTTACTGAACTGAAACATGTATACTCATTAATAGGGATGGCAATTTGCATTACTTTTATTTTATTAGTATATATAGTTAGCTCTTGAAACCTTAAGTCACATTCACTCCCTTTCTTAACTGTTCTAGGAAGCGGCAGAGCCCTACAAACTAAGAACGCTCGTACATTTGAATTTTATGTTAAATTATTGATTGTCTATTTTTTATGACTTTTTTCAATAGTTATATAATTGTATTTAATGAAGAAAAAAAAAATTTTAAAAATGAGAAGAAATTCTGAAACTAAACAGGGCGGGACGGGTGTTCGCGAGGATAAAAAAGTTAAACAGGACGGGGATGGGGTGAAAAAGTCTCCGATTTAGACGGTTTTGGGCAAGAACAGGACGAAATTTTTTAAATAATTGTGGAAATAAAAGAGGTGCACCTATCCAAAATCGTCCCATTGCCATCCCTACTCATTAATGGTGGTTCTTCATGTAATACACGGCAAAGGACACTCCCTGAACCGATGGCCCTTCCTTCTCGCCCAGCACCGAGTATCTTTTCATCACATGATGGTTTATAATTTCCAAAGAACTCTTACACTTGTCATACGCCCATTCTGCGACTAACTGCCTTATTTGGAATTCCGCCCCTTCCTCCGTCCAGACATTTTTCTAATTCGCAGAGTATTTTTTTATTACTATTATTTTTGGGTAGTTTGACCTTTTTTTTTTTTTTTTTTTTTTTAAGCATTAAATTCAACTCATTTTCTCACATGATGTCAAAAACTTGATTTGTCTATCGGTGAAACTTATGTTTTTAATTGTGACTGAAATGACCCCATATATGTAGATAATCCTTAAGGTGAAAATGACTCCATATTTTTGTATGTTTATACTTTTAAATGGATGAATTTAATCATCTGAATGTGGTTATGAATTCATAATACTGTTTAGATGAGGCATAATAGAACTCAATAGTGCCATTCTGTCAAGGAGGTGTTATCTTGATAAAGTGGCCTGCGCTTTGACTTCCACTCTTGTTTTTCTATAGGTTTCTGTTTGTTTAGATAAAATCAACTAATTTTTTTTTTTAGTTTGGATAGATAGAAAAAAAATTATAATAGAAAATATAGTTTTCGAAATCTCACATTATGCTAGCTTCTTCAAAACTTTTCTCACACATAACATGAGGAAATAATATTTTCTTATGAAAACTACTCCTTTTTATTTGAAGTTCCTATTTTATTCAATAACTGAATCATTTAAAACAACTAACTGAGTTTCTTTTCTAACTGAAGTTCTTTTCTACTTAGTTTCAAAGAGGCAAGTTCTCTAACAATTTTTATTTTGTTGGATTTCTAGAAGGCAAGTTCTCTCTAAACATGTTTTCTTGCAATACTATTTGGACGATTTTTTTTTTTGGGTTCCAAATATATACATTGTATCTGATATATATATATACAGAGAAAAATATATATTTGGCTCTTTTTGTGTTCTCTGGTTGAAATCCGATGAATCCATGAGCCCAATTTTTTTTAATTTTTAAGCTTTCTTATTTCTCTTAAATGAATAGTTAGTTCTACTTCTACGATTTTACCTAAGAAGTCTTGAAGTATTATTTTAATTTAAACAATATAAATGAATATAAATAATCAAATTATTAAATTTAATAATTCATCAATTTATTAAAATTTTGATAAAAATAGACATCATCAAACACAAATTTTTTTATTTTTTTATTATATATAGATAGATAGATATATTAGAAGATGGGGATAATTTCACTGACACCCCCAGTAGTTTGGCCAAATATCAATCTAAAACATCTTTCGAAAATAACTATCAGTTAGGTAAAATTTCGGTTGTCCGTTACGGTCTTCGTTAAAAACGTATGAAAAGACATGTTTACCCATAATTTTTTAATCACATTTAATTACAAAATATATATATATATATATATATATATATATATATATATGAGCGGATCTGACCAAATTGATGCGTTCATAGAACTTGCCTGTCCGCGGTATCGGCAACAATCGGCAATCTGGGCAGCTGACCCAACAAGCAAGAAGATGAGCAATATATCAAACACACCAGAAGGAACAAAAACACAGTGCTGTCTAAGCTCATCAACAAATCCAAACCCAACCCATCTCTTGGATTGAAGCTCCTCTCCAGAAGATCAGGGAAAATCAACAGCACATCAAGAACTATAGCTTGCATAGTGTTGAACCTCACATATCTACTAAAATTAGGGTTTAGGATTTCGATATAGAAGGAAGAAGAAGAAGCAGAATAACAAGAGGGTTGAGTGGATAGCGGCAGAGGAGTGGTGGTGGCCACAAATTCGTCCGAGTTGGAACTGGAAGCGAAGTGAGTCCGTTACCAAGTCAACTCGGACTCGGCGTGAGTGAACTTCTTGACACCATCATTGCCATTCTCTGCAACCCCTTTAATCAACTGGTTGTTCTCTTCGTTATGGGTGGTTTGTTGTGAGGCCAATAATTTACGAGCGAGCTTCTCCGCGGATTGAAGATCGATGGGTTTGGGAGGGTTTAAGAGAAAAATTTCACACCAGTTGAGGATGATGGATTTGAGGGCGAGATTGGGAATGAGATTGGAGAAATCAGGGGTAGAGCCGTCAGAGAGAATGGGTTTGAACCCTAAAGCCTTGTAGGCTTGAA